ACTGCTAAAATAAAATAAAAAAATGAAACAACTCATTATTATTAAGTTCATTATTAATACGTAAAATGTTATTTAAGCATGCCTTTGGAAATTCAGGATGTGAATTTGGGAATTTAGGATGTGAGGTGTGTGGTGCTATTGTTCTGATTTTATGAAATTAATCAGAATGAATATTTCATAGATTGCATTGTTATATTTTGGCATGTGTTATCAATTGCATTATATTTGTACCTGCCTAGGTTCACTCAATTTAAGCAATATAAAAAAGAAAATCCTTGTCTTTTTTTATATGTGACATCCATATGGACATTTGAAGTGTTGCTGTCTGTAATTTTCCAGAGTTATCTTTTCTAAACATATCCAACTTCTTGTTTTCAGAGGGCTTAATTGATCATTTTCATGGCCATGCTCTGAATCCTTAAGGTGCAGTGTCAGTTATTTTCAAGGTGCTTATCAATCAGTCTCTTTATGATATGTTCTAGATTCTTTCCAGGTATCAACATCAGACTGTTTTTTATTGAACCTTCCTTCTTCCCTTTTTTGAAGAGATGTTTGCTTTCATATCCAAGTTCTGCCATCTGTTCTCCAAATTTTGGGAACATAATGTAACCCTTCAATACTTTAGGATGCAAATTATTTAGCTCTGAAGGTTTAAACACAAAATACACATTCTCTTACCATGTTTCTATCAGTCTCAGGCTAAATTCTGTCTTTCGATTCTGCTTATCACACTTCTGATGGGGGGATTGGGGAAGGATTGAATTACAATATAGTTGAGAAGTACTTTGTTTTCATTGTTCCCTTTTAGAATTTAACTGCTTTCACTAAACAGCCGGTATACTAATTATTTTCTTTGTATTTTAGTTGACATATACTTAATGCTTTGTTATTCCTAACATATTTTTTTTTTACAAATCTGTTTTTGGGTTCCTGGCACAAGCTCTACAGAACAAGATAATCTGTTTTTACTCTTGCTTTATATTTTTTTTCATTTCCTGTATGGATTTTAGAAATGTTTCCAGGTGTGTGTGTGTGAGAGTGAGAGAGAGAGAGAGAGAAAGAGAGAGAGAGAGAGAGAGAGAGAGAGAGAGAGAGAGAGAGAGAGATATGACAATTTGGTTCTGGAAGAGGAAAATATAAGAAACTCAAAATAACACTGCTTTGATCCTGTTTAAGAGGCAAAAGAGAAATTCTTGGCAGGCTTTCAAGATTCTGTTTTGATAACCTATAATAAAGTTGTATTTCTGCAATCATTGACCAGACCTGCTGCAAAAAACTGACATCATCTTTAGGAATATCCACCCATTTTGCATGCATTATCATGCCATGGGATCCTATTTATCATTGCTCATAGTTCTGAAGTCCAAAACATGTCTCATTACACTCAATTTCATTAAAATCATGAACTACAGGATTCTATGATCACTTTCGCCCTTCTTGCCTGCTACTTCCACCTCAATTAAGTCTTCCTTATTTATTGCTGTGGTATCAAGCTAAGCATAGCTGATTCCCTGGTATCTTCTTCCACCTTATGAAGAAAAAAGTTGTTGACGAATCAAAAAGTCTAACAAGTCAAAGACAACTGATTCTCTTCTTCTTCTACTGTATGAAGAAAGTTGTTGCCAAAAGCTCCTGAAAAGATCATGCCTCAGAGACATGATGTCAGCCTACTTAGTCTATCATTATGACTCCATGTGTTCCAATTTGCAAGGTATCATCCACATCTTCTCCTTGGATGGGAAAACAAGAATAGACACCGACAACAGACTGAGTTTATTTGTTCATACACACAGGTAATGCTTTACAATACTGGCAAATTCATTCATTTGAATTTCTGAATATTTAAACATACAATATGATTCCTCTTTTTTTTTTTTTTTCTTCTCTTCCTTTTAAACAAATTATATCCTTTAACAAAATGGGATAAAACTGTAAGTACATAAATAAAGAAAGCAATTGTCTGTTCTCCAGTCATGGGAGTCATCTGTTACATTTTTCCTCTCTGTATTAAGAGCTATGCTTAAAATTTGATGTCAATATTACTTTGGAATAAACTCAGATGCCTAGCAGGGATTGGAATAAAGGCAATACAAGCAAGGTAGACATCACATATCATGTCAATATTAACTGTGGGCTGGGTGGATATCATTTAACTCAATGAATCAGTGCTAAAGAAAAACCTTCCATAAAAAAGGTCATTAGATTTTATTAAGTAATAATTTGTAAACTGCCAATAACATAGACAAGACTTAATGGAGTAAATTTTCCTCTGAGAAGTAGGCACATTGTATATCGCAGCTAAAATAGGTCATCTTGAATGCTACATTTCAACAAAACTGTATTAGAAAGCAGCCCCCCCCTTTATATTAGGATGAATATGCAATCTTTCAGATGTTGGTGGACTACAGCTCCCATCAATTCTCAGCACTGGACAAACTGGCAAAGAATGATAGAAATCAACAACATCTGGATCCCTTCCTGCAGATTCCTATTGTGTATTGGTGGATCAAGGATACCTGCCAAGCATTAACTAGACAGCTCAGACAAGAATTACAGCTAGAAGTTGTTTTTGTTTCTTTATGACACAATCCCATGTGTTTTCAGTGATTTTTCTTTCACTTTGCATTCCTTTTTAGTTATCTAATACTTGTAGATCAGTAATTTCTGGCATAAACTCACCTAGCTGATATTTAAAAAATGCTAGAAGTGTAGTCATACTGACAGCCTCAGTTAAGTTTGTGGAATGAATTTTTTAAGATCAAAAACCCTTTTCAAAACAGGACATGCTGACTTTCCTGTTTTTGTAGGAACTCCCATGTTCCTAGAATAGCATAGCAAGTATGTTTCCTGCTATGCTATAAACATGAATATCAATTAATTAATCTGCAGACTTTGTAAGTTCCTCTTAAAAATTGCCACTCTTGTCAATCATTTTATATACTTTGTTCTGAAGTGCAACCAGCACAAGTCATATATATTTATTTGACTTGATCCTTTGGGGACACTTTTGTCATAGAGAAATACAGTAAACCAATTAAGGCCATACCCTCCTTTAGGAAGAAAAGATCTGAGAAAAACAAACAGTATCTATCACATCTTACCATCACCTGAAGTCTTGGGGGTATGTGGAATTTCTTGAAAATGACAATTAGAATAACTTGTTAGGGCTTAATTAAGAGCTGGGAGAAAAGTGTGTGAACAGAGACAATACAAAGATTACATTAATAATAGCATGCTTTATTCTCTTTTCAAGAGATTTATAAAGTAACTCTTAAAAATTAGCTGCTGGATGTTTCAGGATATTGGCACTTCTTGGATGTTGCAGATAATACTAGGTAGGCAAACACCACTGAATCTCTCATCTCACAATTTCCAGCAGATGCATGATGAATAGAAAAATTTACTCCAGATGCATGCAAACTCTATGATCACTGTATCTATATATTAGCTAGGACTAAAATCATCTCATTTATAATGACACAATTCCTTTTATACATATGCAGGCCAATTTATTTGTATGTTCTTCTACATACAATTTGATGTGGTAGTTAAGTCAACAGGTCAGAAACTGGAAGACCATGAATTCTAGTCCTTCTCTCTCAGCCCTAGGAAGGAGGCAAGGGCGAACTACTGAAAAACATTGCCAATAAAATTGCAGGCAGTTTGTACAGGCAGTTGCCATGAGTCAAAAATGCCTGTTAAAACACAAATGTAATTTAGAACAGTATAATGCATTGGAACTAGAGAGCTGGTGAGAATTTGGTACAAGATGGGGGGGGCCTAGATAAATATTTTAAATAAATAAATACACTTCTAATGTAAGAGAACTGTGTGAATTTTAAACTATAAGTATAATTTGATTTTATATAATTTTGTTTGGAACAAAATGACGAAGTGTAAAATGTGTCAGAATGTTGTGCTTTTATTTGTTAAATACAAGTAAAGCAATAATTTGGATGGGGGACACAGTAAGTGATTCCTTTAGAGCAGGGGTCCCCAACCCCTGGTCTGTGGACTGGTACTGGGCTGCGGCATGCCAGCAATCGGTCCGCACAAACAAGCAAAGCTCCATCTGTGGGATGCAGACAGCACACAAAACCACACACTCTCTGGTCCATGGAAAACCTTTCTCCATGGAACCGGTCCCTGGTGCCCAAAAGATTGGGGACCTCTGCTTTAGAGAGTTGTTCATAGGCCTATAGGCCTATCATGCTTGACATACAAAATAATTCTCTTTTCTGAAACTTCTATTTGAAGAGATCAACAACTTTAGATGCATACAACAATAATGCAGTTTTCATACCTCACATAACACTGCACTAGTCAGTTCAGGCAATATGAATGCAATATCTGTCTCTACAACAGTCTAGTCTCCATTTGCTTTCATATTATTTTATGTTATATTTTGCAATTTCCCATTCCTATATGGCACACTTTGGACACCAAAAAATTCAGACAGAAAATGGTTAGTAAAATAAGAACAGTAGTTTAATATTGGTTTAAGAAAGACTGATATAACATGGTTTTGATTTATAGGTATCCTGAAAGAAATCCTAAGGAATAAATAGCTTTTATTACCTTGTTATGGCATTTGTACAATAGCAGAATAACTTCTACTGTTTTACAATTTCTAATTCCTGGGTACTATAAGAGTTTTATAATACACTCAATCAACTGCACAAAATCTAAACAACAACCATTAGTGGTAGTAGTTTTATGAAAAATTATCCTATTACTAAAGATTTCTTATATAAAGAGCAAAATTAACTTCAGTGGGAAAGCAAAAAAGGTGGCTAATCTTTGTACTCTAAAAAATGATTTGTAGCAATCAAAGCATTGCTTGAGAAATTATTCTTACTAATTTCATTTGATTCAGTCTCCTCTAATTTTCATTAAACATTCCTAATCAGAGAAATATTCATCATAGCCTGCCTTATAGCAACTAAAACATGTTACTGTAAGAACAAAATTTTCCTAAATGATTTTTTTTCATAAAAATATAACACATATAGCAGATAAATGTAATATGTTTATATTTCCAATGATAATTATAATTACATATACAGAAGCATGGAATGCTTCTAACTGTTGGACTACTTGAAAGTGCTTTTTAGAAACTGTGCAATTCCTCTTCCACTTCTAGGGATGGGTTCATGCATCATGTTCACTCCTGGGGGAATTACACCTTTAAAAAAAATGCACTGCTGTCAATATGTAAGCTACATTGCTTTACATAGGATTACACAGAATTTACACAAATTCAACATGCACACATACTCCATAAACTCACCCATCACAATTTAAAATAAGTATGCCTTGGAAATAAAAAGAATCTCTATTCCACAGAAATTTAGCAGATAAGGAATGGAATATTTTTTTCAAAATGGGAAGATAGGAAAGGTACACTGAAATTGAGTTCAGTTCTTGTGATGATATGGACACAGCCATTACATTTTCTTGGGAAGGGCTTGCCACTGGCTTTTTCCAGAATGAGCTGTGATTTCCTAACTTAGCTATCTGAATTGTGTTGCCAATAGTTTCCCCAAGTTCTACCCAAGCCTGACCCACTTAATTTCCAAGCCAAGACAAAACTGGCTAAGTGCTGTCTTGAAGCCAAAGATAATATAACCACATTAGGTAACTGAACTTCAAACGGGGTCATATTTAAAATTATTAGAAATTATTGTAACATTTTAATTCGTTCAAGAAGTAACAAGCCTAACTGAGGTGCCAGTAAATACAACTGGTCAACAATACAGGACATTTATTTGTGATTGAGTACAGCCTGTCTTCCTTCCCAACCCTGGGAACGGAGGGGAGAACAGTTTTTCAGATTTCTCTGTGGAAAACAGGACATCATCTGAAAATGCAGCTATTATTATGGTAATCCCAAAGAATTAAGCAGGAAGCAAATTACTTTATTTAATACCTTTTGCCAGAACAGTATCATCAGCTAGCTTGAGAAGTTCAACTGCCTACATTTTCTTCCAAAGAAAAAGAAAAGACTAGAAATGCACAATCTATACCACCCCAGAGCCATTCGTCTGACCTGTCAAAAATTTACAACCAAACTACATGGTTTAAATAATTATGTTAGTTAAAATAATTATGTTAAATAATTATCAGGAATTATCTATAATATAATTTAATTATTTTTCAAATGTTTAACAACGACTAGAATAATTTTATTATTTGTATTAATCCTGCCCAATTTGAGTGTGGCTTTAGTAGATAAAGCTTATTAAGACCTGACATACATAAGGATATACTTCAATGAGGAGATATGTTATTGGATTTCAATTAGTATTATTTTTTAAGAGTAGTATGTTATCCTCACATCTGAATTTGCAAAATAAATCTCTACTTACCACTACAGTGTGTGGCACCATGATCCTTATTAAGAGATCTGAAATAACTATCATTTCCAGTGTTCCCAACTTTTCCTTTCTGCAGTTTAAACACAAGATCACCTATATATGTATGCTATAAAGAGACTGAATTTTGCAAGCTTTCTTTTCCCCACCTCATTCATTTGGTCATTGTATTTTTTGCAAAGAAAGGCAAAGTGGATTTTAATACTTAAGTGTGCCAACAACCAAAACCATTAACCTACTTACACATTTATAACTTGAAATTCAAATTTTCCAAAACAACTTACTGTACTATTAGTAGTAAAGCATTTTGAAATAATTATTAAAAACAGAAACATAAATAACATATCTGCAAATACTAAAACTTGGCAAAGAGTCTACAAAAGATATAAACAATAGTCACTTGTCCATAGACCATTTTTCCAAAGATGAAAGGTTCAACCAAACATTTTTTATGGTGAACTTCAGTCCAATGTCAATGTTCTTAATGAGCAATGGCTTCTGCCTTGCTATTTGCCCATGAATCCATTTTACTGAGAATGAAGTGATGACATAAAATTTACCCAAGATAAAAAAGCCTGGAGTTCCCTGGATGTTTTTCTGAGGTTTTCTGTGATTTACTGGATACTTTTAAGCAGCACTCATAAAATTATTTCGCAAGATGACCATTCTTAGGAAAACTTGTTAATCATCTCCATTTCAAAATGGTATATTATCAAATTAGAGAATATCTACAACCAAACAATCAAGCTCAGAGAACACCAAGAATTCAACAGTTTAATCCAGAGTTACATATAATCTAGTAAAACTATTTTTCAGACTAAGGATTGAGGAAGACCCAGACCTTTAGAAATAGTTTTGTAACTTTTCTATACAATATATACCTTTAAAACCCTACATAACATGGGTCCAGGGTTAACTAAGGAGCCTGCCCCACTTGTGCCATTGGAAGAGGCCTACTAGAGATCTTGTCTGTTAAGGCAGGGGTCCCCAACCTGTGGGGTGTTCGCGTGGCCCATTGCGTGTCACATTGCAGGCGTTTGTGGCCTCACATGTGTGAGCATCGCCACTGGCATTTGTGGCCTCACTCATGCGAGTGCTCATGGTCCTATTCACGTGAGCAACAGGTGTTCGTGCACGCATGTGTTCAGCTCCCCCACAAAACCATTCCTTCTTTTCCCCCTCTCCCCCGCTCCAGGCCGCCAATTCTGAAAGGTTGGGGAACTCTGTGCTAAGGAACTGAAGGAAGTGGGACCAAGGAGAAGAGTCTTTTGGCCCAAAAAGAACATTCTACCACGAGGGGTGAGAACTGCCCCCTCCCTTTTGGCCTTCCAGAAGGGTATCAAAACCTGGCTTTGCTGGCTGGCCTCTTGGCTCTTGTTTGTTTTAATCTTTTAATTTTTAAACTATTTTTTACTTCTTTCTGTACGTTATCCTGCCCTGAGTTGCCTTGTAGGGGAAATGTGTGGTACAGACATTTAATAAATAAAAAATCAATAAATTTTGTGGAGAACTTCGGATATCTCTACAGAGTTGTAAATCATGTGCTTCTGAAATCTCTGGGTTAACAATAGGCAAAGGAAATAAAGAGTTATGAGATTCATAAAGGATATAGCTGTCCCAAATTAGTCCTGATGTTTAATGAAGTGTTCACACAACTGGCCCTAGTTATTGTTTTAAATGAATTGAACAGGGGAGATATTGGATGATTTTATGAAATAAATGAAAGAACCAAACTTTGATATTATTTGTTCATTAAGTCTCCCTTTATATATTAGTAGGATCAATATGAAATGCTGATAAATGCTGGAAAACATGAAGGGGAAAAATACTTAGCTGAAGACCTTATGGCATCACTTTAAAACATAACCCAACAATCACTCTCATTCTTATTCTCTCTCTCTCTCTCTCTCTCTCTCTCTCTCTCTCTCTCTCTCTCTCTCTCTCACACACACACACACACACACACACACACACTCAAAATAAGCAGTATATCAGAAGAAAGAAAAAACAGTAAACTGACCTGGAAACGTCTAGCATCCAGCACTATCATCTTAGGGTTTGTTGTATTCTTACAGTTCTTCTCAGTTAGTGGTAAATGAGATGCAGTTAATTGGATTTCATACATATTTGCTAGAGAATTACTGATGCAGTATCTAAATTGAATAGCAAAACCACATACTGAGACAAACTGTGTAACAGAAGAAAAATCCAAATGTAATTAATTCAAGTAATATGACCTGTACCAAGATGGCATCCAACTGGAAGTAAATCTAAGTAATTTTGTCTGACATGGTCTGCAAATTTCTCCACCTAGCCTTGTAGCTGCACCCCAGTGTTTTTCTATACAAAAGGGTTGAAGTCACCCGAAATAGGGTTGCCAGTCAGCTATCTGAGACACATTAAAGGCAGAAAAATACTGTTGTTTTAACACCCTTACCGCCACAAGTTGGGTATTAATAGTAGATGTAAACCACTACTGGTCAAGTTTGTTCTTTGTTGACTACCAGCAGTGGTCCAGGACTTTTAATCTGTTTCACCACCCTCAACTCTTCTGTAAACCATGGAGAATAATGGGATCCATGAAAGAAGAGAGGCTGCATGAGTGTGATCCAATCCAAGGTGTTGGCTGCACTCCTATTCCAGGTGATAACCAAGTCCTCAATTGGATCATGCAGCAAACAATCAGGAAATAATCACAGCTTCCTTTGGAACTCATATAGGCCAATCAGTCACTGGAAGCAGGGAACTGAATAGGTATTCCTCCCTAAATAGTGCAAGAAAATCCCAGTTACTAGGCTGTGATCTGAGCCTGACAAAGGAATCATAGAGAATTCCCCCAATTCCAGATCCCATTGCCATTGTTCTGACAGGAAAATCAGATTAGACATGCAGCCACACCCTGTGACAGGCCCTGAATGACCTATGGCTGTCATGGTGGCAAACCTCAGATCCTCCCTCCTAGAAAGGATAGACTGAAGTCCCCAAGTATCATAAGTCTAGAAAATTCACACAACATTTTTGAGTCCTCTCTTCCTTTCTGCATCCCCTCAAAATCTGCTCAAGAGATTTGAGAGCAACGGCAATTCAAATTCCATTACCAGAAATGATTCACTAAATTGTAATATTGATTTTAGTTAGATTAACTTAAAATATATTCTTTCTTTAACGTCATCAACAATACAAAATAGCAGAACCTTAAGATAATTGCTGATTGTCAGAAAAGTCCACAAATTATCTGGAAAATAACCTCAGACATCATACAACTGACATTCTATTTCCAAAAGTAGTTTTTCTTCTTCTTCTATTCAATTGTGTCTAATTGTTAGAAGCTGCATGGCGAAGTCCCTACAGTTTTCTTGGCAAGGTTTTTCAGAACTGGTTTGCCATTGCCTCCTTCCTAGGGCTGAAAGAATGTGTCTGGCCCAAGGTCACAGTTGGTTTGTGTGTAAGGTGGCCCTAGAAGTCATAGTCTTTCAGTTTCTCACTTCTTGTTAACCATTATACCAAAGAGCTTTTTATTTTTAACCAAAGTGCAAAAGCTTTATACAAAGTAAAATAAAAATGTATACTTACGCAATTTTCTTGCATGTAGCAAGAGCACAAAATACAATATCATTTTTGTCGTGCCACTGACACCTAAATATAAACCATATTTTTATAATGAATCCATAATTTCAAATACATATTGCAACAATTAGACAGAATTTGGAATGTTAAAAAAATGAATAATGTTGAGCCAATGCATGGCAACCAACACTAAGTACAGGCGCTCTTGCAATTTTCTATTTGAATAGTTCAAGATTTTTAAACATTTTCAAAAGCATCTCAAAAGTCTAGGTCTATTTTAGCCAGAAGACTAAAATCAAATCTACTTAGGTTAATCTTATTTTTTTCTGCATCAAAATATAAAACTTGCTAAAAAGGTAAATTTAAAATATACACGTGTACATATTTTACACATACACAATATCTAAGTATTATAGTTCTATTGAAAAAAATAACTAAAATCACCCCCACAGTAATTATTAGCTGTTCATTCTATGTATAAATATAAAACTCTTGGCAACTGTTTAGCAGATTAAACATTATACTTCTTGTTTTGACTATTTTGTTAAATCCCTTAAACCAGTGCTTTCCAAAATTTTTCTTTCATTACCCAAAATCATTTATCAGAAAGTCCTATCACACTTCAAAAACTGATCGTAAGTCCTTTCTGAGTACCGTAATAACTCTGAACGGTTACTAAATGAATGTTAACTTGAGGATAACCCGTATCATTAAAAACAACATTGCTGAATGATCTTTACGTTATTTCAACAAATTATCCTTGATAATATCATTGATTTTCATCTTAATAAGAATACTTTGGGAGATGTTCTAATTTAGTGCACTTGGCAAGTCAATTTAAATATGCCTGTTATGAGGCATAATAGGTTTGTTGGTACCTAAAGAAAAAATATTTTTACCCAATTTGGGATAATTTCCCCAGATTTCAGAAGCACTGCCTCAAACAGAGACGACTTTGTGCTTTTGCTCAAGAGAGATTTACGTAATGTACTTAGGTTATTATACATTTTTATCCAATTCTAGTCACTGAATACAGGTAGTTCTTGGGTTACAACCCTAATTTCTGTCACCAAGCAAAGCAGTTAAACAAAACATCACAAGTGGGCTACTTAGTGATAGCAGCCCTGGATGTAGTTGTTAGGCAAGGATCTAACATTTTTCCTGCCCTAGATGAACTGCCTCTCCACTTCAACTCTTCCACCAACCTATCTCCTCCCCCATCTCTGTTATTTTGATGTACTTGCCCAGCATGGATAAGATGGTAGGCATCATATTCTACCACCTACCTGCTGCTGCTCTTCCCCATCGCCCCAACTAACCCTTGTCTTCTTTGCCTCATCTCTCCTCTACTGCACTCTGACAGCTGTCACAGAGTGGGCAGGGACTCTGTTGGCACTAGATTCATTTCCCCCATACCCCATCACCTTAGCTGCAGGGCTTCTGGTAGACCTGCCAGACACCAGCAATCTCAGCCTGTCACTGGCCTAGAGAGGACTCTACATGCTCTGCACAAAATTCTATTGCTGTCCTGCACAAAAGAGGAAGCTATCTAAAGAGTAGCTCTCTGGATCCTGCTGCCCACCTGGACAGGGCTGCAAGTTCTCCATGCCACTTGCTAGCCTGCGTGAGCCTTCCACTGAGTAGCAAGAAGGGGGTATTTTTTGCAAGGAACAAAGACTGCTGAAGTAGGATAAGTCCACCAGGAGCCTGGCAGTTAGGGAGGCACTGGTGAGGGACACCCTGCAGACAGCATGGCTGACAGAGGCCTCATGCAGTAGATCTTGAGGCTGGTTGGTATCAGTGAGTCCAGCGGAGGACAGGCAAAGCAAAGAACAAATGTAAGCTGGGAATAGAGAGGGCAACAGTAGAAGACAATGGCTTTTTCATCTCAGTCGTGCTGTGTAGGGCAGCCAAAAAGACAGAAATATGGAGAGGGGGAGGAATAGGTGGGAGGGTGGAACTGAAGTGGGCAGAGGAGGAAATGAATGTGGGGTTCTGCAACAGTCATAAATGCATGTGGTGGCAAAACAATTATCACATATCAGCGTGGTATCTTTGGGAATCTTAACCATCAAGTATTAAGTTCAATTACTTGAAGATTTTTTTCCCTCCCCGGTCATAGAAATAATGCATCCCTTCATAATTTTAAAAGTACTCTATTCCCCTGCTAATGGTCTTGTATATTCTGAGAGTTTCAAGATACAAACTGAAATAATTATTTCTATGAACATTATGCAGTAAGGTAAAGAATGATCAAAACCATATTAAGGTGTAATTTGAAAAAAAATGTTATTTAGAGTAGATAAAGCATTGCAAGAGAGAATTTATGGCTTTTTCAGAATGCGAAAAAAAAGGGAGCAGATTAGAAAATATACCTGGTGTTTCCTGAGTAATCCCACATGGAGGCATCCAGTGTGTTACACACCCAAGTTTTAGACGGTTCTTTTTGAAGTTTCTGATGATACAGCTCCACAACAAGATCCTCCACATTTAAAAGCTTTAGATGATTGACTGTGCCTATTAAGAAAATAGATTTTAACATCAAGGCTATTAAAAGATATGTGTAACGATATTTTCTCTATTATAAAGGTAGCAGTTTCTTACCTGTTTCTTTAGCCATATATTTTAGGCACCAGTTAACTATGAAGAGATCATCAGACTACAAAAATAAAAATTTGGAATTAAATATCTATTTACATAGATACTGAAGAGAAACAGAAGAACTTGCTTTCTCTTGAAATGTCTTAAATCTATTATGGCTGCAATTTACCTAATTAGATCACCTTCACATTAAGATTAGCTAAAATGCCATTTGATGCATTCTGCACATATGGATCAACAGCCCCCAAATCTCCAAACAACAATAAATACAAATAATTATGTACAATATAGAAATAGAAATTTATAAACTACCAATGTATTACACAAACTAAGTGTTCAAAACCATGGAATAAGTTATTAGAATGATTGCCTTCCTATGCCTTTGTCAACTAATTTTTAACAAGATTTAATTATTTTTGCCTCTTTGAAATTTTTTAATTTTAAAATTTTAACTTAACATTTCAATTTTTATAGTGTTCTATATTTTGATACTTTATTGTACACTGCCCAGACTCCCTCTTTGAGGAAGATGGACAGTTGAGAAATGTAAAATATAAACAGACAGGCAGACAGTTGGATAGATAGTACATGAACTTAAATGGAAATGATTTCGATACCTATGTGAATCTTTTAATAGTGGGTCAAATGTTGGGGATGCTGACCTTGGTTTACATGAAGTTAGCAAGGGTTAGAATACTTTAATAATGGTAGAAACATCAGACACCTATCTACTCTTAAATGTTTGAGGAACAAAACAGCCAAGAACGTTTTTTAACTCTGAAAGCTCAGATTAGATGAGCTTAACAAATGCCTTTTAATTAATTAATGTAAACAAAAGGCTTTATCCCTGTGGATGAATTCCTCTATGTGAAAACATATTTGGATGGATATTCTTATTTACTTCTCAGAAATTTGAATGTCAAGTCAATGTACCTTACAATATACAGATGGCCAGTTGCCCCTTTGTGGTTTGATGAACGCGTATAGGTCATGCAACACAACTGAGTAACTTGCAGTTGCAATATCAAATCCAGATATGGGAATTTTATGAGTAGTATCACCTAAAGGAATATTTGAAATATTTTAAGATGCAAAGTATCATTCATACATATTCTAATCTTAAGTATACTTATAGATTATAAGTTCTATATATCAGCTCTATGATCAAAGCTCAAATATCTTAACCATTTGATTTTTATTAAAATATTCAACAAGAACAAAACTAGTCTCATAGACAAGTAAAAATGTTTGTCATAAACGTACAATAAAATGTCCCTATATAAGGCATCTTTTTGAAATAACATCATTTGAACTCTGCTATATTATTGATTTAAAGTACTACCCATAAACACAGTTTGCTTTATCAGTCAGGGGAAAATTCTAGCTTGAATTTTACCAAAAAAAATATAATATTGAATGTTCAATCAATTCTGTAGATCAGATAATACAAGTGCCACAATGAGAACTAAAAAAACCTAAATGAAAGCTTTAAAAAAGGTATATAATTGTGAGGTTGCTGACATTTCTTAACAATGGCATGCTACACTGAATAAATTATACAGGTAAAATCAAATGTTTCAGAAAATCGGATACAATACCCAACTGCGATGAGGAAAAAAATGAGTAAAAATTTATTCAAATTTCTTGACTAATTCTTTGTTTCAGCTTTTGTGCAATACTCACCTGCAGCCTGGCAGTGAAATCGAAAACCTCGTGGTACTTCTCCTGCAGAACACCAAAATCAAACAAAATACATTAACTTTGTAGGATAGCTAAATTGTTACCCAAATACCTATAATTTACTGTCCCTTCACATTCAGTGCCAACTTCTTATGGTCACTGAATGAGAATTACCTGTACTTCTCTTGCAAGACATTAGCCAGATTTTGACAAAACACTTTTTTTTCTGGAGATATGTTTATTTGATCATGATCAATTAGTCAGAATAATATTGTCAAAGAGTTTTGGCCATTACAATTTTTATTTTTTCAGTATGCAGGAGTTACTAAACCAGATTGTTTGAACAAACTGAAACCTATTTCTTTTAGAATAGAACTAAATCTCTATGCCCCTTCTACTTTCAGATGAATCAGAACAAATTCATTCTCTCCTTTTTCCAACACTTACCAGGATTTATAAAATGATGCAATTCTGCAATTATGCCATCCTTAAGTGAATATTTGATACACCCAATTTCACAAGGGAGGAAACGCTGACTACAGTGAGGAGGCAACACTCCATGACTGAAGATATTCAGAAAGTAGAACGGAGTTTCGAGCACAACTGAAAAAATGATTTAAATCAAATTAGCAATATATTTTATGTGATATATATATATATATTGCTTCTAGATGATATGGGAGGCACAAAAATTTAATAAATAACAATAAATATTCGGTATGTTTAAAAGCATTTTAAATACCTAATATAGGATTCTAGCTTTCACCCTAGAAAACTGAATATTGTCTGCATTTCATCGACTAAAATCCTGGTTTATTGGCCTAACTATTCAAGTTAAATTTCATATTGTTTCTCAATCCCTGCTCTTTTATTAAAATTCTTGAAACATTTAAATGTTAAAACAAAACAATACAAAACCACAAATAACATGAAATGATTTATAATTAAAAATAGTTCATGGAATTAATCTGTCAACTCATGAAATAAGGATTAAGCAGTTACCAATGTAAACAAAAACACGAGGTCAAAACAACTTATTTCAATACTAATTACCATTTGTTCCAATTCATTTACTAGTGATTATCCCATCAGCTCAATAGCTTTACTTGACCTATCCTATAATCAAGCCCTTTTCATTTGTTGCATGCTGCTACATTTCTTGGACAGTATTAAGGCCTTACTTTATATACATTTCATTTTTATAATTTTCCCTACTGTTTCCTTGGGACTTTCCTGATACATATATCATCTCCTGACTCCTACCCCATTCACAGAACATTTAGACTAAACTGCTCAAGAGATGGGTTGTCTTTAAGCTATACTTTACCTTGTTCATACTTAAATGGACTTGTACGGTTTGTAACAGGAATCGTATCCTGACTTTGAGTAGGAAACGGTAGTGGGACTTCTCTAGGTGGCTAAAAAAAATAATTGTTCATTCAATATTTACCAAATCAAGAAAAACATATCTAGAATGTTCCTTTCTAGGCACAATGCTATGTTTGATTTGACAATATACATAGAAACCTGTGAATGAGCTTATGCCATGATACATACCACACAGAACTATAAGAAAATCCTCAACTTAACGAACATTTGTTCAGCGATGGTTCTAATTTATGATAGCACCAAATTAAGGGATGTACGACCTCTGCCTGAAGTTACAGCTGCTGTAACACCCTCACAGTCACATGAGCAAAATTCAGGTATTTGGCAATTCATCCATCCTTATGACTGCAGATTGTCTATCTTTCTCCATCCCATCTTGGGCCTGTTTGGGCATTTTTTTTCTCTGTACAATTCCTTCAGGCAGGAATTGTGTAGTCTTCCTGCATGGAGGCTGTTTGACACAATCACAGAAGTCGGTGCCATTTTGGAAAATTCAGGAGATTGACTTTGGAATGGAGAGCTGGCTACTCCATCCCTTGGCCTCCCTATGTACAGAGGTCATGGGGCACAGTCCTGAAATGGGCGCCGTTTAGGAGTGGTCATAATTCATTGCAGTTAGACCCAGCAAGGTGAGAAGCAGGCCCAAGGCCTGTGGGGACTCAATGGGAAAGGAAATCAGACTCAAGGTAAGCAGAACAAGGTGTCTCAGAGGGTGGGTGAGGCCTAGGAGGCCACATATGAGTTGAGGAGGTACTGCAATGGGATACTGAGTTAAGCCTTCCACCAGAGGCACCACATGCTCCTTTTAGCAGCCCACATATTCGCTTAATGACCATAAGGAGAGCAGGAACTGGAGTCATTAAGTGATCACATGGGCACCTGACTTAACAACCATCACGACTTGTGACTGTTAACAGGCAGGCTCTGTTATGGTCATAAGTCAAGAACTACTGACATAAGTCAGTACATAAGTCATTCATGTAAATGTGTAGCTTTATACATGTATATGTGAATGCAATAGTAGCAGCATTATTGAATTTATTATGTGTATATCCGTTTATAATATCTTCATGCAAATGCAGCAGGGCTGACACCATCAAGAATGCTAGGCAGCTCACTAAAATAAATTAAGTTTCTAGAAACATTGTTTTAAGCTACATATACATCCCTATGTTATCAGAATAGGAGCTATGCCATTTGCCTTTCCACAGTTGAGCAAAAAAAAGTCTTTAGGAATAGGAGGACAGTAATACCTCTACTTTTACATTTTTCCTTCTATTCTTGTAATTCTGAATACCCTTGCAGGGCCTATTAGTAATTATAACACATATTTACAAACATTACTAGAAATCTTGCTATTGAAACTTCCTTTCTATTTTAATAGAGCAGCAAGGAAAAAAATTCAATGTATAAATATGACATTAAGGCTCTAATAATGGGAAAAGTGGAAAGAAAATTATAAGCAGCAAGGTGGATAGACTCCATTACAGTGGCAACAGGTGCATTATTTGGGAGACTTGAAAAAAAAGGTTATGGATAAATTATCATAGAAAAAAAATTATATGGTTGTCAGGCATCAAAAACAATTTGATAGCACATAATCAAAGGCTGCTAAATAACCACTGTAGTTATCTTCATATTTTTATAAAATTCAATCTACTGAGATGAATCTAGACTAATCTGCTCTCCATTACAAACATGGGAAAAAATGCAGAATCCACCCAACAAGAACCTGCACTCAGTACCTTTCTCTACATACCTACAGATAATTTTTATTATTTATTCTCCAATTTAAACTCAGTTGTGCTTGAAAATAAGCATATTTACAGGCTTTAAACATTTCATTCTTCTATTTACCTTTTCTACTACTACTTCTGACTTGGTAGCTTTCCACCGACGAGCCATTTCTGCATACTTTTCTTTTTGCTCTTCATTAAGCATCTTAGGAGTAAAAAACAATTTAAAAACCTTGCATGATCTATTAATGATGCTTTCTGCCAAATCATCCACTGACTTAATCCAACAGGTTTTGGGCAGTACTGAATTGGGAAAGTCAAACATGCTAACATTCAGTCTAGTCAAATGTTAGATTAACTTCAGTAACTTCCATATGGTGCTCTTTCCCAAGTGTTATGTAATAGGTTAATGCACATTATTCTGAATAAATACTGTCAGTGAAAGGCTGAAACATCATTCTAACAATTATTTTAAAAGTAATGTATCTTGTTTCTATATCCAAAAACTGAGGTAGGAAACAATTTACTGTATGTACAGTTATGCTGCCTAGAAAACAGGAGAGTTGCCTCTCCTTAGGCATGAAATGATTATGGGCAGTCTCACTTTTTCAACCCAACTCACCTCTCAGGATAGTTCCTTTGGGGAAAATAGGAACAGGGAGGAGTATTAGGTTTGTTTGCTGCCTTGAGCTTCCGATAAAATAATGTAGGATAAAAATCTAACAAAATAAAAGTCTATTTTATACTAGTGAAATTGCTATTGCTAACATTAAGCATTCTAGCAATGCAGGAATATTTGGGAAGCAAACCTTGCTTAGGTCAGAAAGCAAATTTGCCAGTCCCATCAGTATGGCTAAATACCAGGAATTACAGCGCTTGGGAAAAGTTTACTCAGATGAATTCTGTTGTAAAGAGTTTAAGCAGGTGTTCACATTTTGCAGCTTTCCTCAGCGAGGTTTGGAAAGCAGCAAAGAACAAAAATGTCTTAAATTTAGGAAGAAGCCTTTTTTTTAGCAATGAGCACCCAAGCCCCATTTCAGAAAGACCTGTAACTATGGCTACCAGATCTCAGCTGCAAAAATCTAAAAGAAACCGACATAACCATCGGCTTGATTTTTGCCCTCCGGATCTGATGGCTTTATTATTTCTTAACTCTGCAACCTTCCATTGCGCCACTTTTAAAGCATCTTCTAGCGTTATCCAAAGAATCGTAGTGGCGAGAGAAAAGATTTCCTAGCATTATACTAGGAACGGTCGGACTACGTTATAAGACGCTATAAATAACGAGTAAGGAAATATCAGGTCCTTTCAACTCGAAGGGGTGGCCATTCCCAGGACTTTCTCTCTTTTCAGGTCCCCCGTGCTCCCTCACCGCCCAGGCATCGGAGCAATACGGGATGGCGTTAGCGACGCTAGTCACAGCCAGGCCCTGCCGCTTCAGCTCCGGCAGCTTCTCCAGCACGAAGTAATAATAGGCGTTGCGCGCTCCTCGACGGCTCGCCATTTCGCACCACGCCTGCGGAGAAATCAGCGGGTAAAGAGAGGGGCGGGTCGCCTTTTTGAAGGAAGAAAGGGCCAATCCTGTTCCGCCCTTTCTGGGTCCGAGGCAGCACGTGGCTAACGAGAAATAAAAAAAAAACGGGGCCCGAAGGAGTTAATTGGTCGTCAGAACAGTCGGGGCTGATTTTGCTGCCTTCATTCCAGGGTCTTTCAAATGCCCCCCCCCACGGGCCGTTATTTAAGGCTTCCGTATCTGGGCTGCAAAAGTCGGCTCGATCGCCAGGTGGCAGGAAAGAGAGCGATTTTTTTATAGTCGAAGTATTGTTAACTCTAACACAGTGTTTCTCAACCTTGACCATTTTAAGGCATGTGGACTTCAACTCCCAGAATTCCACAGCCAGCAATGCTGGCTGTGGAATTCTGGGAGTTGAAGTCCACATGCCTTAAAATGGTCAAGGTTGAGAAACACTGCAAGAGTTCAGTTTTGAGTTCTGTCCCAATGCCTAGCTAAAGTGTTGGAGAAAAAAAACAACCGGTTATTTGTTTGGTTATTCAAAAATGGGTGAGAAAGCAACCGTGGTGAACAGACTGCGCAGTATTTTAAAATAAAAAAGCAAAAAGAGTACCTTTAATGCGAACAAAAAGGAAAGGACCCGAGGTGTGTAGTCTGTTCAAATGTTTGTTTTTCTATTCTTGCTAGAACAAACAACATAATGTTACCTTTGGAGAGTAGAGCCCCACTTCCGCTCTCATTAATACTGTGTAGAACCTTTGGTGGAAGAAGACTATAAAGTTAACAGTATGGTAACAGATCTAATCTGAGCAGGATAGAAACCAAAAACTCACCTCTGCAATTTTTTATCTTGATTTACTTAACTGAAGGAATCAACATAGCATATTTTATTTTTGCGTATTCGTTCATTCATAGCCCGCTTTTACCATTTTTATAAACAACTCAAGGTGGTGAATATGCTTAATACATCCTCCTATTTTTTTACCACAACAATCACTTTGTGAAGTGGTTGGGCTGAGAATGATTGGCCCAAAGTGACTCAGCTGGCTTTCATGTCTGAAGTGGGACTAGAACTCACTGTCTCTTGGTTTCTAGTCAAATGGAGTTTGTGCGCACACACTTGCCCATTGCTCGTGCAAGTGGGGATGTTCATGAGTGTGCTTGCCGGCCATTTCCAGGGTCCAGTTGCAATCCCCTTATGGCCCACTAGTGGGCCATGGCCCACAGGTTGGGGATCCCTGCCTTAACAGGTAGACCAAGCTGGCCCTATTAATTTTTTAATATTTATTTATTTGGTGAAAGAAAAGTCTTCATCAGTCCAGTCCAAGCTGGGAATAAACAAAATGAAGACTGCTTTAGAAAGAAGGTGTAGTTTATTGAAGAGCAAAGCCGGACAGAAGCATGCCTCTGGGAAAGCTGACCACATGTTGCTGGGAGTGGTAGGTTTTTATACCTTCCTGAGCTTTTGTGTTTGGAGTTGTTCCTGTTTGAGGCTTTGTATTTCCTGTGTCATGTACTTTGACCTGACTCTGAGTATGCCTTTCTGGTATTCTGATGGTGCTGGATTAATCCTATTATGTCCTAAAGGTCAAAACCTGCCTCCCTGGGACTGTGGCTGATGGCTATGTCCTGTGTTGGGTTTTTTTGGGGTGAGAGGTTGTTGATTCTAGGGATCTTTGTCTTTTTAATCCCATCAGCTCCAGCTTCCTGGCTCCAACCTCCTTGAATGGATTATGATATCTGCATTTCTACAGAGCTGGTTTCTGTTTGGGTGAGGAAGAGTTGGGGCTATTAAAAAAAACTGGGCATGCTTTTCTGCCTTTTTAAGATTCTTTGGAGAAATATATTCTGCCTTTTTAATATTTCCTTCCCTGGGGAGGGCTGACTTCCCACATATTTATTTATTGCTACTCTAGACATTGGGCCCCTGCTGATTTGAAGTGCTATTCATTTATCCTTGAGTCAGCGAGAAAGTACTTGGAATTTAAGCCTGTTTCAAATCACTGCAGTCACTCAACTTACTTCTTGGATGGAGATTGAAGCATTGGGTGTGTTTACGTCATTACTGAGAGTGTGAATTAAATCCAAACAAAGATTATGATTATGTGCCATCAAGTCAATCGTTAGCAATCACATAGACAGTTTTTTCCAGGATATGACAAAGGATTAGCAAAGTAATTTTATAATTTTATAGAAAGGAAATAAAAATATATAATTTATTCAACTTATAGGGACAGGCAAAATCTATCTACTAGTTACAACATGTATGATAAGAGTCCAACAGAACATGCTCTTCATATGTGCCTAGAAAGAAAAGCAAATGGAAAGGGCATTAAATAGCTCTTCATTTAGGCCTTAGTCAATGAGGAGTGAGACCCTGGTTGCATCATTCTTATCAGTTTTTATCTTTTTATGTTTTATTGGTTTGATGTAATTGTGAGCTACCCAGATTCATTGAAAATCAGGTGGCATACAAGTTTAATAAATTATTATGTTAGCAATTTCTTAGAGAACAGGCAGAATAATAGAGGAGACACAGAGAAATTCTATAAATCTGTACATAACTTTCTATTCACACTCCACTGCCTCTTTGTGGACATAGATCACAATGTTGTCTTGAAGATAACTCATGACAAATAGTTTTTACCTACCATGAGGCTTTTTCTGAACAGTATTGAAATAAGTTAACGTAATCCAATCTGTTAGAATCTGGTCTAATCTCAGTACAGATAAGGCTATCTTAAGTGTCTCCTGCTATTTTTGTTTTTGAAGTAGATCACTTATAACACATTCAGCCTGAAACTGCAAGATCTACTAATTTTTGGAGAGATGTTCCACGCCAATCTTGAATTCATAGATTCACTGTCAGTCGGACAAAGAGCCACCATTAACTTGAAATGATAATAACACTAAAAACTAACTTATACTAATATTCTCTCCTACCCTCCAGCTCATTTACAAGGGAAATCGTATTTCTCAGTACCATTCTCTCCAAAGAATCTACTTTTATGAGAATTTTTAGAATTATTGTGATTTTCCTTTACTACTAAGTTGCATGTATCTAGGAGCAGAAATTTGTGGGTGACAACTCTGGCACCTGTTCTGCTATACCACATCGTGCAAATAAAAAAGACTGCTTTTGGAATGCCAGCTAATCTATAAGTACACAATCTATAAGTACACAAAGCTATTGTATGGAATAAAAGAGCAGAGGAGATTGGGAATGAGTCATATACTATTTTTTTGGCCAACAAAATGTGCTTCGACTGGTTGGAAGCTTTTATTGTGCAGTTAAACAAAGAGACTTAAACTATTGTGTAGTTAATAGTCTTGAGGAAATAATGGCTGGAAAAGAATACCCATACTTTTTGTTTTTGACAGATTAAATTGCTTTCCTAAAGTCAAGAACCTACATTTCCCTTGTTCCTTTCGCTCTATTAGTCAGTATAAGCAATTTCTTCTCTGTGATCTTAGGATAACTTAACCACCTTCTTTGAAATGCTCAACAATTCATTACTTTCAAATGATTAATTTGAATAGTTTAATTTCAAGTGATTTATAATTTTTTGTTTTGTCCTCAAATAAGAATAGGTTACATTGAGGGCATGCTAAACTTGGTTAAAGTGTGTTATAGAAAGTAAATTTGTGACAATGGTTAACCACAGAGATTTCTGGTAGTTTGTGACAAAAGTACTTTCCTCAGTTTCTTCAAGGCTTTTTCTAGTTTTTGGAAATCTAGTTTCTTGACATCATTAAAGGGGCTGGAAAATGGTTTTATATTAGAACATGTGTATGTGCCTGCATGCAGTAGCATTAAATAGGTACACTGCACAGCTTGGGAAAGAGAAGTCTTTTCCCATACTGTCTATGGTGCTTTGTTTTTTTTCATGACTCTTTAAATTTTAATTTGCTTTGATTAAACCAAGGTTAAAGTTACTGGAATATCAACTAAACTGTCTGCAAACCAACAAGTCAGGACTGGCATCATTTTATAGTATTGTCTAGCACCAGATATATGCTAAATATCTTTTCCATGGATTGTGTCATATTTGGCTGATTTTCCTATGTAAATACACTCATGGTGTTTCCATTGTTAATCTGTGCGATTGTTGGTAATTAAGTATAAATTGTGCAATTATGCCCTTGTAATAGTGATTTTTCTCAGATCAATTCCCTATTATTCTTGGCTGGCAGCAAATTTGAAAAGGCACCAAGTTATAAAAGATACCATATTGTAATCTCCAAAGCCAGGGACTCTGTTGCTGTTACTTATCAAATGTCATGTGTAAGAATTGCAGCATATAGATATTAATAAAGTCAGATATCAGGTGACAGCACACAGTAGGATCTAATAGCAAACTCTTTTTCTACAATATTTGACAGAGTTTTTTGCTTTGTAAATATAGATAGCTTCATGACCTTCAAAGCAGGAAACTAAATATAGACCTTGGCAGTGGTGGGATTCAAATATGTGAACAACCGGTTCTCTGTGTGGATGCTGCTTCCGGAAGTCCATTCTGGGCCTGGGCAACAAAAAATTAGCTACCGGTTCTGCCAAAGTGTGCGAACCGGCTGAATCCCACCACTGGACCTTGGGGAGACATGCATTGTCTGACACTCTTCTAAATAGTTTTTGCTTTGTCCTTTATTGTACAGTGCCTGATAGTAAGTTGTCCTTAGAAGACCAACTTGGCAACAGCTTTAAAATATGTGAATGATGAGCATGTACAGATTACATCCATGTTTCTGATTGTTGTTAAAATGAAAGGCTGCAGAACATACATTCATTGAATTCAGCCAGAAACAATATATTATGAATTAAAGAGCTTCAACTGTAATTTATTTATGCTTTAAAACATTTGCATAAAATCAACTCAGGCCAATTTATTGTAATGGTAGGAGAAAGATTCCACACAGAGCGCAAGCAGAAGGAAGTGGTTATAGTCCATGAAGAAATTCACTCATTGAATAATATGAAATCAATGCATGCTTTCACGAGTACTTTCTGTGACATGCCAGCCTTTAGTGAATGCAATGAAGTAATTTAGCAACATCTATTTGTTTAGGGCTGCCTGATACTCACAGAGCTATAGAAATCACTGTTTCTATGGAAATTGCTGCAAGGTAAAAGTAGTGCTGAAAAAATGCGTAGATAGACATAAAGGAACAGTTAATTTCCAAATACAAAATTTCTGTAACATAATTAAGGGTCTGAATACTTCAGTATTTCTTAAGCACAAGCCAGATGATTCATAGTTAATTGTAGGACAAACATTTTGTATCACTTTGATCCTGAAATATGCATATATGAAGATGAATTGTTGATTATAGCTATATCTCATATTTTATCTGATACTGCTCTACATAACTACATTAACCTCCTATTTTATTCCTGTAGAAACACTGGAGAAAGTGCAATACAATACACAGCTTTTATAGAAGTGTGATTATTTTTTATTGAGCCCTGGTGGTGCAGTGGTTAGAATGCAGTATTGCATGCAAAGTCTGCCCACAGTCTGGAATTCTGACAGTCTGACAGGACTCAAGGTTAGCCTTCCATCTTTCCAAGGTCGGTAAAATGAGGATCTAGATTGTTGGGGGCAATATGCTAAGTTGTAAACTACCCAGAGTGCTGTAAAACACTATGGGGTGGTATATAAATCTGAGTGCTAGTGCTATTACTATTGATTTACTAATAGAAGAAAACTGCTTTAGAAATATTTATAGTTATGTTCAGAGAAAATCCATCTTCTTGTATTGAATCATTGTCATTCCTTTTTACCACAATGTAAAATATATCTGATAGCTGAATTAGGTATTTTTCTTTACATAATACGGTAGGTAGATTGATATTGACAGTGTTCTTTGGAGAAAAACATTTTTCCCAAATGTTCTGTTTCAACCCAAAATAAATGTGAAGTCAGTTAAGAACTGAACTAGTAGTTGGGATGGAATCAAAGGAACTGAAAATTAAATGTATGTTTTATGAAAGCAGGTGTCCTATTTGAGATGGTTTGAGATCTTCTACTATTTAATATTTTTAATACAGTAGTGACTTGAATGTAAAGAGGGTGTGGGATACTTATCTTATTTGCAAATGACACAATATGGGATAGAGTAGCTAACATAAGAATACAGAAATATCATTTATAATGAGTTTGGTAGTTGGAGAAGTGGTTTGAAAATAACAATATAATTTGATGTAGACATATACAAGTGTCTTCACTTTGGAAACAAAATAAGATGCTCAGATATAGTTTGGACGACATCTGGATAATAGTAATTGTGTAAAAGTTCAATAGTAACTGATTGCAAACTATTTAGCTAGCAATGTGATATTACTGCAAAATAGCAAATGCAGTGTTGGAAACTTTTGCATCAATAACATTTCTAAATCACAGGAACTATTTTCCATTTTTTCGGCTTTAGTCAGATTTCATCTTGACTTACTGGGTTGAGTAATAAGTATCTTAAGAAGACTTTAGAAAAAAACTGGAAGGGCAACAGAGATGATCCTGGGATTAACACCTTAGTTTTATGAAGAGAATAAAACAGTTTCGGGGGGGGGGGGAAATAACAGAAGGGGAATATGGTAGCACTCTTTAAAAACTGAAGGACTTTACATAAATGGAAGCTAAAGATTCATTCTAGAGTCCAGACATTAAAAAAACCCCTCATTATAGTAGGGAAAATTCTAACCATATAAAAACCTGCCTTTCCAATGTAAAAGCACTTCAGCAGTGCAAGCATTTATTGAAAGACGGAGTAGAATATAGTCAAGAAGTGGCAACACGATCATAGGTCTGGGCTGTTTTAATTTGAATTTTGTTTTGGAAAAGGATTTCAACTTTCCCCATTCTGATTCTATGATTTGGTGCCCCCTGCTAAAAATGGTTCATGGAAGGTAGGTTTCCTCAGGAATGTCAACACTGAAGAACAAATAAGATAGTTGTTTCCCTTCACTTTGAACGTATAAGTAGTCCGTGGTATTTCATGTATATCCTCTCTTTAGAACAACATCATTTAAACCAGGGGTTCTCAACCTGTGGGCCAGGGCCCACTACTGGGCCGTGGCCTGCTGGCCAGCGGGCCGTGGAACAGGCTGGCCAGTGCATCCATGTGTGTGCATGCACTCACCCCCACTCGCGCTAGTGCTGCTGCTGCTCCAAAAACGGGGTGCCGTGAGGTGAAAATGGGGCGGTACTAGCGCCTGCACAGTGAAAATGGGGCGCTGCTAGCGAGTGTAACGTGGGTGCTAGCACTGCTCCATTTGCGTCATGTATGCTTACGCGTAAAATGTTTCACCGTCCCTTTCCCTCCGGTCCGCCAACCGAGAAAGGTTGCAGACATCTGATTTAAACAAAGTATTTTTTTTTTAAAAAAAACACACAATTATGCAATACCTCCTATAGCGCACTGGGTGGTAATACTTTGGAAGGAAGGGAGAGAAAATTCTGTTACAGTTTAATTTGCCTTTGTCCCTTCTATTTCAGTCATATTATTAGGAAGTATAAATAGATACATTTTAAAATGTATTTAAAATCCCTTAGCCAGTGAAAAGAAAACAGTCAAGTAGACAATATTACTGGAGTGGGTTTTGAATGCAAATGATTTAAATAAAAATAAATTAAATTGGGTTAGCCAGTGGGGGCTGTGTCACTATTCCAAATTGAGATATATTTGTTTTATAGGTACATTTGTTTCAGCTGTTGGTGCTTCATGAGTTGATGCTTGCTCTTCCAGCAGGGGACATCAGGCAGTGAGTTTTGATTGGGGAAGAAAAGAGAAAATTCCATATTAAAAGACATTTTTAAATGTTTGGAAATTACAGCATATAGAATAATATGCACAGTATTATCCCACATCTATTATTGTTATTAAATGTATCAAATATATAGGAAAATCATTCATATTTTAATAACATATCAACTACTTTGCGGTACATTACAGTTTGAAGGAGATTTAAGGGAATAAGACTAGAACAGGGGTCTTCAAACTTGGCACGCTGGCTGAGGAATTCTGGGCGTTGAAGTCCACAAGTCATAAAAGGGCCAAGTTTGAAGAGCCCTGGACTAGAACATGAACAACACAATAATCTATAGAGTTTTAACAGGTTGTGCTTGATAATTGCAATTACCTGTTACAAATGGTATCTCCACTAGCAACCTATAGTGTTTTCTACAGTAATTCAATTAGTGTTGTGCCAAAATAATAGTATCAAGGACAGCCTTTACAACACTTCAACAATGGCTGAGAGATGCTATGAAGACATTATAAATCACTTGGAGGGAAATGGTCACAGAATTTTCACTGCTTACCTTCTTCCCTCTCTTTCATTTGTGCAAATATAGAGATAAATGTAGATAAATCCTCCTTTTTCAGTTTTTCTATAGTATTGTAAAATTACCCCATGAAAATCATGCAACTTGATATAAACTTTAGTCTCTTCTTTTAATGGTCACCCACACCTTTTTAGATACGGTTGGTCTTTTTAGGCAGGCTGTTTGACCCTAAGAATCTCCAGTGATGAACTCTCTCTGTTCCTGGACAGTTTCAATGGATTGCCATGTGATTTAGAAACTCTTGTAGTCTAAGAATGATGTCAGGGGAGGTGATACTTTAAAACATGGTAAAGTTTAAGCTTATTTTTAATCTGAATTTGGTTCGAGTAAAGCAGCTGGCTAACAGTGATTTTCTCCCCTGCCCAAGATTTGTAAATAAAGCAAGAGAGAATAGAATTATTAGAATAGAGCATTGCATGCTTTTGTTTCCCCCTAGCAGAATGGTTGCTCCCATTCAGAACTCTGTCTATTCACACACTGAGTTGTGTGGTGGAAGACCTGCAGATAACGGAAAAGAACTCTTCTACGTGCCACTTCACAGTATTCAAAACAAGGAGCTTTATTTACTTTCTGGCTCTGCTTCCTTCCCTGCTCTTCTTCTGCCTGGACAGACTACAAGATGGATAGGGTCTTACTGGGCTGGACCACTTTCCTGTGGGTGACAGGTAAGGGTTTTTTCCCCCTTTCAGTTTCATTGTGGATTAAGAACTTTTTGGATTGCAAACGAAGATTTTTGGATTTCTTTGCAGGCACGCTGTTTCCTTGATATTATATAAAGGTTCACACAATGAGAGGCACATAGAGCAAAATGCTGAGCAAATAGAAAACAGTGTATTGGACAGGCAGTCTTGTTCCATATATCAATAATATACATGTCTCTTCATCACATAACTGTTTAAGAGATTTTTTTTCCCTTTCTTGAACTTCCCCCTCTTGATTTGATTCAGTGAGACTTAATCTGGGAATAAATTGCCACAATATTTAGTGAGATGAAAAGCATAGATTACTGGAATATTTTTCTTTTCCTCAGGGTGCCATCTCTGGAATTTCTTTGTACTTGATTCCGTGCAAAGAAATATATTTTGTAAATCCACAGAAAATATGCAGAGTTAGTATGGCAAGGGCAGGCTGAAGATTCTTTGAGCTCCAAGACAGAAACAGTTTCCCACACAAATGTCTTGATTAGAAAAGCAGTCATTATTACCCCTTTTGTCCGTGCACCTCTAATACAAATTAATATTCTCAATTCCTTTATAAACATTGAAGAATCTACAGATCATAAATCTACAATAAGGAGGAAATCATTTTAAAACCATCTTGTAAAAAATCACTTCTATAATCTAGCATGTCTTGATATGGATGGCAATGAGTAAACATTCCAAATAATCTCAACCAATCAGCCTTCCAATTCTTGCCTTAGTCTGTAATTGTCTAAGAGCTGGAAAACTGGAGGGGATTAATAAGCTTTCAGAAAGTTTACTACCCATTGTCGTTCTGATCCCTATATGGGCTACAGCTTGCCAGCATAAGAAAGTTTGCTGTTTCTTTCTATCTATCAAAGCTGTCTGATACCCTGAAGATCCAGGTTATCTATATTTCCGTCTGTTTTATGGAACTTCTACAAATAGTTGTTCTTGCTTTTAAAGCCAGTGTTCACTTTGTCTCCCAAATCCACTATGCTCAGTCATTGAGCCATTCTGTTTCCAGATTGCTGAAACTGTAGTGTGCTGATGGGAGTCAGGAAGCCCTGTACTTGTGTTTTCTAACACAACAGTGGCTTAATTTAGAGGGGTTAAGGAGTGTTACATTAAGGCAAACAAATGATAGCTTACTTGAGGCATTCTAGGTAGCTCTGTGCAGTACAAACTAATTCTTGGTGTCAGTGTATACAGTGTGAAGAGATGATTAGAGGCAGGGGTCATGAAATACCCAGTTGCTGGCATAGGCATAATGATGGCACCCTGTTGTTTTTCTGCCTCCATTTGTTCTCAAGGAGGTATCTATCCAACTTTACTGTCTACTAACTGCAATGGCTTGGAATTAAAAAAAAAAGGAAGGGTCATATAAAGTGCATGAGGGTAATCCTTAAAAAAAGGATATTAAGATACTCTAGCATTGGATACTATGCCTTTATTGGTTGATTCTGACTGTTCTGATTGTTTGAAATAATATACTCCATTATATCTTATAAAACTGCTATTTTCCTTATTACTCCTCAGAACTCCCTCAAAAAACATGCCATCTAGCTTTGCTTTTATCAAATCTGTGTTACTGTATAGAATTATATACATAGCAGCGTACAATGACTTTTGCTATATGTAAAATAATCTCATTAATTTTATACAGCGAAGTATAAAATTTAACAGAATTGCTTTCAGAAACCATACCTATATAAAAATGATGCCTGAAGATGCCTTGGGGTAATTCTATGTCTAAAGAAAGGGAAAAGAAATCTTCAGGTTCCCTGTAAGATTGACACTTCTATGAACAGAATGTCATCTAGTCATTTCTACTAGGAGTGGAGGAAAAATATTATTTTGGATCTAAGTATAGCTAGAGAGGATCCTAGGAAGCTGCCAGTACTGCAATATTGAAGTTACATAAATGGGTTGGGGTTTATGGAACTACCTATAGGGTACAAGAACATACATGAACCAAGGAATTTTAGGATAAAAATAATCTGAAAAGATTACTATTGCTAGTATATTTGAATAAATAAAAACATAGGATTGGTAGTTAGGTCTGGTAGAGGTCTGTCATTCATTCATTCATTTATTTCCTCAATGTATATGGTCCTCCTTTGTTTATTTAATTTATATGCTGCCCATCTCACTCTATACAGTGATTCTGCCAACTGACTATGGGTAGTTAACAAAGCTTAAGAAAGCATCCTAAAACAAAATGGTAAAATAATAAAACATAATAAGGTGAAACATACTGTGGTAGAGGACCAGACAAAGGACTCATACACAGCACATTCATCTAATTTCTTGGACTAGCTCCTGAGAAGAAACATGTCTTCATGGTGTTCTTAAGGGCTGGCAAGATGGGGATAATTAATTTTATTTGCAGGTGGGGGAATTGTTCCACAGGGAAGGGTTTATGACAGAGAAAGCATTATTTAATTGATGGGACTTGATACATGTTAACCATGCCAGGTTGTATATGGGAGGCAGAGACAACTGGAGACCTATGATTCCACAAATAACCATACAGTATGCTATGAAGAATTTCATAGGCAACTACCATCACCTTTAATTGTACTTGAAAGCCTAGTGTCAGCCAGTACAATTCATGCAATAATAGTGTGACATGGGTGCACTAAAGCATGGTCATAACTTCTTGTGTTGCCATATTCTGAATAAACTGTAGTTTCTGGGTGTTCTTCAAGAGAGGGTTGCTAATCATAAGATTCCACAGGGTAGTTATAATCTTAATAAACAGTTAGTTTTTTCTATTTTAAACCTCCTTTCAATCACCTTCATTGGAGGAATGCTAGTGTGTATGGAGATTCTCAGTCATCCAGGTATGGTTGTTCCAAAGGTGCTTTTTAATTCAGAAGGCAACTGGACTTTCTTGTTTTTGTTTAAAGATATTTCGATTCTCATCCAAGAAGCTTCTTCAGCTCTGACCATCTTCTTCAACTCCCCACTATCTGGTCAGAGCTGAAGAAGCTTCTCGGATGAGAGCAAAATGTCTTCAAAGAAAAAGAAAGAAAGTCCATTTGCCTCCTGAAAAAAAGCACCTTTGGGAGGAATGCTAGTATTAGTCATTTGAGAGAGGAGAAAATTATCCCTGTTCAGTTTCTCCATGCACAATTTTGTATAATTCAATTATATCACCTGATCATTTGTGCTTTTTTTGTGCTAAATAGTGCCAGATATTCAAGTCTTTTCTTATTAGACCCCTTGATGACTTTAGTTTCCTTTTTCCTAGCTCTTCTATATCCCTTTTCAAATGTAATGACTAGAACTGAACACAGTACTGGAAATATAGATGAATATAGATTCAATAAAAACACATTATAATGCTGACAATTTCATTTCCAGTCTCATTCCTAATGATTCCATAGCATGGATTTGCCTTTTCTCACAATTCCGGATGAGTTGACATCCTAGACTACTATGACATTAAGGTCTATTTCCTGTTAGTTATAAACAGCTTAGAACAGAGATTTCCAAGCTTTTGGCTACCAGGGACCGGTTCTGTGGAGAGAGGTTTTTCGCTGCCTGCATCCCATGGATGCGGCTTTGCTTGTTTGTGCAGCCCGGTTGTTGGCATGCCACAGATGGGTACTGGTCCACGGACCGGGGGTTGGGGATCCCTGGCTTAGAAACACCATCTGGTATACGTGATGTTTGTTTCTTTTCCATCTTCCTTGTGTATCATTTTGTGTTTATTTAAATTGATAATGGCTGACCATTTACCCAGCTTAAAACATTTCACAGTTTTTGTTTTTCACTACTATATGATCTGGTATTAACTGCAAACTTGACCAGTTCACTTCTTATTTCTAATTCACTCCTAATTCCTAAACAAATGAAAAAGAATTAGCCCCAACATAAATGCTTCTTCATTTCATTTCATTTCATTTCATTTCTTCATTTCTTTCTTTTGAGAAAATTGCCTATTTTTTCTTCTCTTTGCTTTTTTTTAACCAATTAGCAGTCCATGAAAGGGCAGATCCTGTTATCCCATGATGGCTAAGATTACTCAGAGTTTTTGATGAAGAACTTAGTTAGAAACTCTTTGAAAGTCCAAGGGTACAATTTCAACAGAATCACCTCTATCCATGTAGTAGTCAAAGAATAAGTTACATATTTATGTTCAGAGGTGAAAAACTCTGTTCAGTTCTTTAAAGAAGATAGTTGCCATTGTGGTCAAATGATTAATTATTATGTGGTTTTTTATGCTATCACAGAATATACTTATTATCTCAGCCTGCTTTAAATATGTTGACTCTTCCCAGAAAAAATTAGTAATGGTTTGGGAATGTATCCTATATCTCCGTAAGAAATAAAAAGACTTCATTTAATTTCTAATAAATTGTTGTTTAAGTTGATTCGTTGGGCAGTTATCTGCTTAGAATATATTTAAAACTGCACTTATTAATTCTCTTAAAGTTTTTTTTTGTCATAATGTTTCTCAAATTTTTGTTTTTATTTCTTATTGTTACCTTACATTTTTTTTGCATTTGCTATGCCTCTTATTAGTTCAGGCTTTCAGTCACCTGAAAGAAATTTAACTTTTACAGTTTTTTAGACAGCATTAGAGAAAGCTGCTGGTCTATTCTTCAACTTGGATCACTTTTTAATAATTCAGTTGAGTCTCATTAGTGTGGTTTTAAATAATCACTGTGGAGAGGTTTTGTCCTATTGAGTTTTAATTTCAGTTTCTTTCTTTCTAGTCTCTTCATTTTTGAGAATTGTTCTCTTATGGTGAATCATTACTGTGGAATCAAGTTTTTTTAAAAAATATCAATGAAATCTTATCTAAAATTCCCATAAAATAAAATTCCTATAGGCCAGTGATGGCAAACCTTTTAGAGACCAAGTGCCCAAAGTGCAACCCAAAACCCACATCGAGTGCATGGGGGCCACAGCCTGCTGGCCCCTCGGTTTCGGCACGACGTGGCTGTTTGCCACCTCACGCATTGCACCCAATGTGGCTGCCATGAGGCCGTGGAACAAGCCAGGCAGAGGTAAGGAACCAGTATACCAGTTTCTTATCGCCACCCAGCTTGTTCCGCAGCCTCATGGCAGCGGCACTGGGCAGGAGGTGACAAATGGCCGGTTTCAGCGTGACATGGCTGTTTGCCTCTGGCTGCGGCCACTTGCTGCCTCGTGCGTCGCACCCACCCCCATCGCAAATCTTTCCAGAAACTCACTGCAAAGGACGCCTGGCACGAAGGACGCCAGCACAACTCCCAGAAGCCAGAGGAACACTTCATGGCAGTGGCACTGGGCAGAAGGTGGCAAACGGCCTGTTTCAGCGCAATGTGGCTGTTTGCCTCCGGCTGCGACCATTTGCTGCCTTGTGCGTTGTAGCCAATGCCGCTACCATGAGGCCGCAGAACAAGCCGGGCAGAGGTAAGGAACTGGTATACCAGTTTCTTACCGCCGCCCAACTTGTTCCGCAGTCTCATGGCAGCGGCACTGGGCAGGAGCCAGCAAATGGCCAGTTTCGGTGTGACGCAGCTGTTTGCCGCCTCGCGTGTTCTTTTTTTGATGACACTACTGCTGTTTCTTTCAATTGTGATTATTTACTTTTTGCATTTTGAGGCTTTTTTTTCAAAATATCTTTTTATGTAAAGTATTAGCCACCTCAGGAAATTCTGCAATTAAAAGACTCAGTTCTTTAGAGAGATGTGAAGTAAGAACAGTACCATAACTATGTGTAAATCTCCTGTAAAATAAGCCACATATTCTTGATTGCAATCAGAATTTTATTTATTAACATGACTTTTATTTTTTTTTCCTATAAAATATTCAAGATGTCTTAGAGTAAGCCAAATTTGTTTGGCCTTGGTTTTATTACAATACTGGCAACAGCAGTTCATTTCAGTCAAATTGCAGTATATGTAGGTTACCTATTTCTTTTTAAGTGCTAATGAGACATATTTTGAATTCTCTTGACGCTGGTATCTTTCTTTTTAGTTGAATGTCTAAATTTTCCTGGTATTATTTCAAATGTTTATTTGAATCTTAGCACAATGGGAAGAGAGATTTTCTATCGACCTGCCTATGGCATCTGTCAAATGTCTCCTCCCCTTTCGGTGACTAATGCCATGCTGTGATGTGGTTGTATATTTCTTATAAGGTTTCTTTATTAGTTTGAAAAGGAAAGATTGGAAATAAATAAAATGTATGTAAAGCTGAAAATAAATGCTTGAAATTCGAGTTTTGTGATACAAACATCTTTTAATACTGTGATATTGAGTTAGTGATTAAATAGATGGCTACAGGAAATTCAAAAATAATATATCAACATAGTTGCCAAGAAGTGTCACCTGTTCATATTTTATGGAACTGGCCAACATTATGCCTTCAATATTTGAAATAACATTTAGCCATTGTGACTACCAATTGTTGATAAGTAGCTTAAAATTAATGAAGCTTAATTTTTTTCCAATTTTTCTTTTCTTATATTATTTTTTGTTCACCTATGACCAATAACATATAGCATATGTTGCCTGTTTTTTCTTTAATCACAGGGAGAAAAATGCATGATGCTTAAGCAGTGCACTATGTAATGACTTATTATAATATATGAGTAAACTAAGCTTGCATAATGTATGAAATTTAGTTTTTAAAAGTAATTCAGCTACAACCCATGATTTGAAGATGATTTGTTTGAAGTAACTCAGAATTAAGATTAGCCACATTTTGCTTCAAATTAAATGTCAAGTCATGGTTAATTGAAAATCTAATTCATAGCTATGACTTGATAAGCCAGTGTTATTTATGGTTGATAAAACAGCAACTTATCATTTTCTAGCATTAACATTTTCTGTTATCTTGCTATCCATGTTCTTTTGGCACAGTTTCTTCTAAAATCACAACTAGATGATTAATCTTAGAAAGTAGCCAATTTATCATTTGGGAATGGGCATACTGAATAGATGATTTATATCTTACAAGTTGGTAACATTTATGGTTTTGCTTTGTAGCTGTGACTGAAGCAGTGCATGTTATGGTGCCTGACAAGAAACAGGTAGCAATGCTCTTTCAACCAATTGTGCTTCGATGCCGCTTTTCAACGTCTTCCACACAACCAGCCGTGGTGCAATGGAAATTTAAATCCTACTGCCAAGATCCCATGGGAGAAGCTCTGGGAGTTGTCTCTGCAGGGATCCAGGCAATAAACAAGAGGAACTTGGAATGGGATCCGTACTTGGACTGTGTGGATAGCAGGAGAACAGTCCGCATTGTGGCATCCAAACAGGGCTCGGTGGTCACGACTGGAGAGTTCTACAAAGGAAGAGAAATCTCCATTCTCCATGGTAATTCAACCTGCTTATCATTTTATTATGACTGAAGTTTTTCTTTGGCTGTTATGAATAGTAGCATATAAAATGAGGTAATAATATATTATGTTATGAATAGTACAATAGTACAGTATATTATGAATAGTTGCATATAAAATCAGTAGCATACAAAATCAGTAGCTTATGAAATGAGAGCCAGTTAAGGCACCAGACTAGAAAGCAGAAGATCATGAGTTTGAGTCCTGCTTTAGCCATGAAAACCAACTGGGTGACTGGGCAGTCACTCTCTCTCAGTCCAATCCATCTTGTTGTGAGGAAAACAGGTGGAGAAAGGTGTGTTGGATATGTTCACCCCTTGTATTATTTGTAAAAAATAATAAAGGCAGATACAAATGAATAATAATAATAAATAATAACAAATATATTTTATTTTTAGAGCTTAGTATACTGTTTTAATTATAGTTTATTATAAATATTTAATAGCACTCTTCTTAATGCCCTGTAAGGTTCACATTTAAAGGTATCTACACATTTTAAAAAACATTAAAATGAACAGGGCAGTTGCAAATGATAGCAATATAATTACATTCTAAGACATGTAGAAACAATTATCAAAAGTAAATAATTCTTAAAAACATGATTAAATGAAAAAAGATATTTTACTCATAAAAAGGAAACACAGTAGACACTAAGCAAATCTTTGGGGATAGCATGACAGAATTGTGGGTATTATAATTGAGAAGAATTATATAAAAATAGCTAATTTCTTTCCTGATTACAATTGATCTGGTATCATGCAGTTGAGAATAAAAAAAATGAAAAGTTGTTTCATTGAGTCTATATTATTGTATACTTTACTCTGAACATTCTTATTAATATAGATAATTTTATGTTATTGCAATTTTATTCTCACTAACTTTATTCCCAATATCTTTGATTCTTGTTTCAAGTACTTAAGGGGAAATAATTTCCTGTATACCACTCATCAAAGATTTACATAAATCTGGTATAGAATATCTTGCATTTGTGTCCACAAGCTCTTTTATTTTTTTTCAGATTTTCTTGTTTAACTTTTGGTTCCTTCTCCATGAGTTGTAAAAGCAGTAATATATACAATAAATTTTAAAGACATTCCAAATAAGCAATACATTTGCAAATGTTTGCGGAATCTATTTAATAAAAACAATAAAGTCATATTGCATCTGTATGGGATGAATGCAGATAAATGATAGACAATAGGATCAGTTTGTTGAAGTGAGAAATCAGAGTTCAGTTTGCCCTTCAATAAACTAGTGAGCAGTTTGAGGGTTATTTATCACAAGAGATTATGTTGCTCAAAATATACTGCTAAAAAAAAAATAAAGGAAACATTTTACCATGGAACTAAAGGGGTTTGCGTTCCCTTTATTTTTGTGAGCAGTATACTTGTTATCTTTAACTTTTCCTGGGTAAGGATAAGGATTACTTTGCATAGGCATCCTTTAATAAATTTTGGCTATATAGGAATTATATAGCCTTGGAAGTGGTTTAAACTTTAAAGCAGCATCTCACACAGAATTCAGTCACTATTTTGTGTAATTTATCTAGATAGAGTCATTTTTATAATTCTTAAATATTTATTGGCTTCCTTTTTGTTACTAGGCCCGATTGAGTTTGCTGATTTTCTCCTTTAAATTTCTAAATGGTTTGGAAATGAAAGTGAAAACACACTTCCCTTCATTCTGTCCTTCCTTGCATTAAAAATTTCAGAGAAGATCCTACACTACAGTATAAGATTTCATTATGCATGCTGAAAGAAATCAGCTTGTTTGGGTACTGCTCAGGCATTGAATGCTTTCTGAAGGAGGTATGATTGTTGCCAATAATTGTCCTTTCTTAGGTTTATAAAATGTTTTAAATTGAGTCACTTTGTTTCCTGATCTGATAATAGTACAGTAATGCTCTTATTCTGTAATTTCATGTTGTTATAGCACAACCCTTTGTGTGTTAAAGGTTGAAATGTCTTCACCCTGCAAAGACACACAAGTACACACACACACACACACACACACACACACACACAGAGGGAAAGGGAGAGGAGAGAGACTCTCTCTCAGGAAATGTTTCATTTAATCTCAGCAAAGTATTTCTATATTGGAACAAGCTGTTCCAATCTTACCAAAAGTGACCCACCCTGAAACAGGCTGTTCTGACTGTGGAATTATTTTCAGTGTGAGATTTAGGGTTGGAAAATTCCAGTCTTGTAATATTTAGCAGACCTCCACTGGATGAGCCTGTAATCACTTTGAATAACATTTTTTTTCAACACAGTATTGAAAAGCATCAGATCTTGATAGTCTAATTCAAATTTCCGGTGCAAAATTATTTCTTATTTTCCCCTGCAGTCTCTCATTTTGATCTAAAATTCATATGATTTGAAAAAAAGGCTACACTTTCTTTTTATACATGTAGTCCTTGACTTACAACAGTTCGTTTAGTGTTCAAAGTTACAGTGGCACTGAAAAAAGTGACTTATAATTATTTTTAACACTTATGACCATTGCAGCATCCTCATGATCACATGATTTACATTCAAATGCTTGACAACTGCTTCATATTTATGACAGTTGCAGTGTCCGGGCTCATGTGACCATATGTTGCGATCTTCTGACAAGCAAAGACAATGGGGAAGCCAGATTCATTTAACAACTGTGTTACTAATTTAACTGCAGTGATTCACTTAACAAATATGTCAAGAAAAGTTGTAAAGTGGGGCAAAACTCACTTAATAAATTTCTCACTTAGCAACATAAATTCTGGGCTCAATTGTAGTCTTAGTTTTGATGTCTCAGAAGCTGAAAATGCTACGGGTACAGAGAATGTTGTTAACAAATGTCATAGCTGTAAATATGGCCATTGAATTACATCTACTAAATAATTCTTGTCTCTTAACACAGTGTAAGAAATCAAAGACAAAGCTAATAGCATGAGAAAGGGGTAAAAGGTAAAAGAAAAATAGAAAAGAAAAAAGATACAAAGTAGTAACAGTTATAAGTACAATTATCAATTACTTCTTACTCAGTGGGTACAACATGCAGAAGCTACTTTTTCTGCATGGTAGTCCTCAGTTAGTGATTGGTTGCTTAGTAACTGTTTGAAGTTACAATGGACCTCCTCATACGAAAGAAATCGATCGATCTTATTTTATAAAGTTCTCTCCAAAATTCATTATCTTCCAAAATCTTGAATAAGAAAGCCCAACTCAAATTGTCAAGGGCCTTCTCTGCATATAAGAAAATCAATGTTGCTTGTTTTTCATTATATTGCTTCAAATATTCCAATATCTTCAAAACATTTCTGACAATGTCATTTACTTTTTCTGTTAGGTAAAACCCCACATTGATCCTCATTAATAATTTCTTGCTAAAATGGTTGTCAACAATTTGAAATGACTATTCAATAATGATATCAGCCTAAAGCAGAGGTGTCAAACTGCCGGCCCGCAGGCTGGATGCGTCATGGCGAAACTGCGCCCACCCCATTGCTGGCAATGGAAAAAAGTTGCGATACATCGCGACACGTCACATGATGTTGTGAGTTTGACAGCCCTGGCCTAAAGGCTCTTGTGAAGTAAAATAGTTTAAAAAAATTGTGTGACAATCCCCATTTCAAAAAACTTAATTCTCTTGCTCTCTGAAAAGTTTTTGATTTTTCATGTAGTATTTTTAATGAATTAAATTTCATTATTCCAGATAAGAAAAAATAATATTGTTAATAAAATCTAGATTTTAGGTCTCTCTGTCTGTCTGATTCCTGCTTGTTTTATATTTTCTGTTAGATGCAGACCTCCATATTGGAAAATTGATGTGGGGAGACAGTGGATTGTATTACTGTCTTGTCATCACACCTGATGATGTAGAAGGCAAGAATGAGGAATCAGTGGAGCTACTTGTTTTGGGTGAGTTTTCCTCCCGACTTATATCTTATGTAAATGTGTATTTATTCCATAAATATTAAGAAAAACAATTCTTGTAAATCTGCATGAGTATCATTCATGGGTTCTGTACTTTGCATTGCTTTTTTATGTAAGATGAGGCCAGCAATACTGTTTCACAGTCACTTTGCACTAATTTAATAGTACTGTAATGTAATAACTGGCACATAAGTGTCGATTTTTTAAAAGAATAAACACTAAATGATCAAATTTAAGAATGCCAGAGGAAATATATATTTTAATGTTCAGATACAAAATTTAAAATATAGCATATTTTATATGGTCCTCAAAATGCTTGAATCATTGTTTTCAAAGATAACAATAAGAAAAATCTTCCAATCAAGCCAAAATAAATCTGAAAATTTGGCGACAGTATAAATGGATTGGCACAGTATCTAATTGTCGTATTTTTCAAGCTAGATGTCAACCTCCTGCTGAAAAGCCCAGCTAAGAAAAACACCAGAGCCATTAAGTCCTCTAATGTAATTTTTATTGAGCATAATCACTTCGGTAGAATCAAAGTGAAAGCTAGGTCTGAAGAAAAGGCGGGAAGAAAGTAATTAAAAGAATGAATCTTCTCCTCTCCTCTCTGACAGTTCAGGTCACATTGTCCAATACATCTCCCAGTAATTGTTATGAGAAGAAACTTTGGTTTGCCAAAACAACTTTTCCACAGCTCCCACTTTCTCAGGTTGAGAAGAACACCTATGGATCCAAATTACTCCCTGTCTCCCTCCCCGCTCTGTTGGCAAGCTAGAAGCACACAGCAGCCCTAAAGGCAGTAGGGTTCAAAGCTTAACACTAGAATTGAACCAGAAAGCATCTAGAGACCAGATGATACTGTGTGAAATATGTGTATTCAAGTGTGATGGTGCTTGATTTGTTCCTGAATGCAGATTGGCAGATTTTACAGGCCAGCTATTGTTTCTGCCCATTACTCTGCCACAAAGAAGAGGGGGTCACGTTAGTCACCAGAGCACCAGAGGGAAGGACGAGAAACAATGGTTGGAAACTGATCAGAGAGAGAAGCAACCTGGAATTAAGGAGAAACTTCCTGACAGTGAGGACAATTAACCAGTGGAACAGCTTGCCTCCAGAAATCATGGGCGCGCCATCACTGGAGATTTTTAAGAAAAGACTAGACAGTCACCTGTCGAAATGGTATAGGTTCTCCTGCTTGAGCAGGGGGCTGGACTAGAACACCTTTAAGGTTCTATTCTATTCTATTCTATTCTATTCTATTCTATTCTATTCTATTCTATTCTATTCTATTCTAAACAAATTCTTTTGAGAAATGCAATATAGAGCAACAAATAGGTTTTATTATATAAAATTTAACAAACTTATTTTCCTAATTTCTACCTTGACATTTATGACTGATCTTTGATATATTATCCTATATTTATATTGTCTATAACTTACTCCTAAACACCTTATAACAATTCTATTGTCTTTTATTGCTTGAGCTTAAGTCAAAATCTCCAGCCACCATTTAACCACCTTCAATTTGGCTTCTTGTGCTGTCAGCTGCTGTTCTAAACTGCTGCTGAAAGGTTGACTTGGCAGTTTCTCAGTCTGTGCTGGCAGTGAAAAAAAGAAGGTACTTTACCAGCTGGCTAAAGCTTTTCAGCATTTCTGCTGGAGCAGTGAAGCTTCGGGGCTGTGCTTCTCCTTTCAACTTGTCTGCTGCTGGTTTCTGAAGTCCAGGCTTGCTGCTCCTATCATCAGTTGTCCATTGGAGCTGATGACTCCACTCCCTCAGCTAAAATTCATTCTTTCTCTTCCCACACAAAATAAATCTTTTTCCAAATGCACTTACACACTCACACTCTGGAGCTCACAGCTTTTCCTTTTATAATTGGAGTCCAGGTGTGGTGCAATGTTCTTTAGCTCGTGCTGATCACTGCAAGGCTTTCCTTCCACAGGATTGAAAGATGCTTTTCTGCTCATGACAGAAGAAGATTTTTTGGTCTGAATCCTGCCATCCTTTCCATAGTTCATGAAAAAAAATAACCAATATGTTTTTGCTGAACTTCCAAAAATTTGTTTTTTAAATAGAGTTAGCTGGTAACAAATACTACATGTTTTACAAATAGTAAAACCAAATTAATAAAAAACAGTCAATATGAAGAGAAAGATTATAAATAAATTACAGTTGGGGAATTGCAGTCAAGCCTGGCAGCATAGCAGTAGCCCTCAAGCAACCACAACTTCCCCAAATCTCATTCCTCCATGGATTTTTGGATTTTGGATACATCCTTGGTTCAAAAATGTTGCCCTATGATGCAGTGTTTTGCTCAATTAAAAGTCATAACAAGTTTTACAGCATATAGTAGATCATATAGCAATATTTTCAAGTACTTAGCATTTCTAATCAGTGGAATGACTTGCCTCCAGAGGTTGTAGGTGCCCCAACAGTGGAAGTTTTAAAGAGATTGAACAACCATTTGTCTGAAATGGTATAGAATTTCCTGCTTGAGCAGGGGGTTGGGCTAGAAGACCTCCAAGGTCCCTTCCAACTCTGTTATTCTGTATTGTCTAGCTTGTATTGGTAAAATAAGTATTTTTAAATGATCATTTGCACTTCCATGAGCTTTCATATTTTTAAAAATGTAGATGTCAAAAAAGTAAAAATCCCTCATGCAAATGTTTCAGTTTGGTTCTTGCAGAATAAGGCAAAAACATTTATTTGAATAGAAAAAAGATTATTGGAAGATGAACCTTTTCTTCAATGGGTATAAATTTTGTCTTCACAATTTGAAGATCCACGAATATTGGTATTTGTTTTTTTGAGAAACTGTGCCACATGTGTTTTGCTTAGTTTTTTTTAAAGATTTAAAGTTGTGTCATACTATGATTGCTCAGTGAGACATGATGTCAAACACAGTTCTTGATTTATGACTACAATTGAGCCCAAAATCTTTTTTGATAAGTGAGACATTTGTGAAATTAATTTTGTCCCATTTTACAACCTTGCTTGCCATAGTTGTTAAGGGAATCACTGCAGTTTTAAGTTAGTCACATGGTTATTAAGTGAATCTGGCTTCCCCACTGATTTTGCTTGTCGGATGGTCACTAAGGTTGATCACATGACTGCTGGACCTTGCAATTGTCATAAATATCAGTCTGATGCCAAGCATCTGAATTTTTATCATGTGACATTGGAGATGCTGCAACAGTCATTAGTATGATAAATGGTCATAAGTTGCTTTTTGCAGTGCTGTTGTAATTTCGAATGGTCACTAAATCCACTGTTATAAGTCAAGGACTATCTATAAATAATCTTTCTGTTGCCAACAGACTGTGTAACAATTTCTGATTTAAAAAATAATATTTTAATACATTTGGCACAAATGAGAGAAATAAACTTTATTTTTGAATGAGTAATATATATGATCTTCATAGAAAAATTCAATAAGAGATATATAAATGTAGTATTTGTTACTAAATGCTTTTGAATTAAAAGTCTGCATCGTGAAAATGATTTACAGCTGAAATTAAAAATTGTTGTAATACAAGTTATAAAGTAATATTCAGAGGAATTCTAGGACAGTAGATGATATGATTCAAACAGTTGTCCATTTAGCTACCTATCGCAATGCAGTATACATTTGCTGCTTGGGAATAAGTGTAGAAACCTCCTATTACTATTATCCTTAAATTGCAGCTTTTTGAGTGCTAAAATAATACAATTTCATTGCAGCTAATGCCCCATCTGGAGAAATGTTCTTTGAATTTGCCTTAGTATTGATGGTAGAAAACTTATTTTATTTCTCTTATAGTACCTGGCATAATGTC